TGTGTGTGTGTGTGTGTGTGTGTGTCTCTCTCTCGCCCCCGCATTGCCTTCTAGCCCGTCCACTCCTCCCCTCCTCAGACTCAATTACATGATATAATGGACCACGGGCCATTCCCCACTGGCAGGAGGAAAGATTTGTTTTGAAGGGCTTTTCAATGTCGCCGCAGTATAGTTATGACATTGGATGGCAGTTACTACGCGTGCCCGCAACTAGTGTATTGTCCTGCTAGTGGGCATGGATCCCGAACTGGGATCTAAGAACCAGCAGGCCTAGCTCAGTCGGTACGCGCATGAACTGTTGAAATGAAGACCTCAGTTCGAATCCCCATCAATAGAACGAAAAGAACAAAAGAAACAGATCGAAGGACGCCGTTACGGTTCCGAGCGTTCGCTCCTTTGGAGTCCTTCCTCCCTCCCTACGGACGACTCTTCGCCGGGCGGAGCTAGAACTAGCAGCTTCCGCCCGATTGGCTGGCTCCCACTGATCCCTTCCCCTACTGAATGCACTCTCGCTTCTCCATGGAGTTCGGCTTTTTTTTTTCTTAGTTTGAAAGCCCTTCTTCAAGGCCTCTTCATCTCGGCGGCGGTAAGAGAGCCACAGCAATTCAGGCATTGCCTGTCGGGATGTTCCATCTATTGGCGGGGAGCTACACCGGCTGGAAAGCGGCGGCCCTTTGAAAGATCATCAAAACACAGTATTTGTTGGGAGTGTGCCTCCATGGATGTCGTTTTTTGTTCTCAAACTTCTCTTTTTCAGGTACCATGTTTGCTCCGTCTCTCGGCCGTTCTGCCTCGCGGGAATCCCTATCGTCCTATGGAATATAATATAATTAACAAATCCATGAAATCCGAAGATAATTGTATCAACAACAGATCACTCACCAAGGGCGATGCCCCACTGACTGGGAGACTTTTCTCCCTGCCCATCAATCCTGGGAATCGACGATCAGAAATGCACAACCCTGTGAGTGAAGCGATGCCCCAGGCGTTCGCTTCATATCGATGCTGAGATCCACTACACGGCTCTCCTCCTATACAGTGGTCGCGGCGTGACCCGACCCTGACAGCGACCACGTTGCCCGCAGGATCGTCGTACAGGGGTAGAAGCGCGGAGGGGTAAGAACCTATTTTTTGAGAGTGGACTCCTCAGTGAACACGGGAGCTGGGCGGTTTTGCCCACCGTGGGCCAGGTGGAACAATACACTGTTAGGAGTTACGCTATGACAAAGGATCGAACGACGGCATACGCCACCCTTGGGCATGGTAGCTGTGGCAGCGAAGGATCAAGCGACGGCATACGCCACCCTTGGGCATGGTAGCTGTGGCAGCGAAGGATCAAGCGACGGCATACGCCACCCTTGGGCATGGTAGCTGTGGCATCGTGCTGCCACAGAACAGGGAAGGACCGGCGCTGTAAAGTAGAGAGGGGGGAAAGGAAAACAATCCAGCTGCGTGCCCAGCTCGATTGGCGTACTGTTCTTTCGCCACGAAAGAATACCGCGGGCTGAGCACACTAAGGCTAAAGCAGCTTACAACCTTTTCTTTTTTTTCACAAGGAATCTACTGGGGCCCTTACCCAGCTTCAGC